GCCCCCCCGGATTTGCCACGCCCTCCCCCCCCCACAACAAAACTTCTTCCCCATTTCAAAATCATTAAGTCTTATCTCTGGCCATCCATTGCCGTCATGGCTTTCTGCTGGGGGGGACCCTGCTGAGACACAGGAGGCCACATGGGCTGCTGATGGTGGAGATGATGGTGGAGGTTATGGCTGGTGGGCGATGAAGGAGGGATCCAGGCAGGTTGATGGTTGGGAGGCGAAGAAGCCCAGAACGGACTGAAGCTACCCGGAGGAGAACAAGCCATGGATGTGATGGGGCTGTTGCTGCTCTGGAGGTTCTCTGAAGTCCGCAGCTTGGAAAACATGGCAAGAGCGTCTGGGAAGTTGGGAGGTGTGGCTGGAGTATTGCTGGGTGTGCACATCTGGAGAAGAGAAAGGGAAAGAGGATTAGGACTCATGAGTTCCTGAACTCCAAGTCAGCACAGCACTAACGCAGTGGTTCCTCAAGGCTATTTCCTCCTACTCTGAACAGTCAGCTAGCCCTCAGGTGCAATGCAAGAAAACAGCCCCAGCACTTGTTCACCACATGTATGCATGCAAGATATGGCACCCTCTTTTCTCCTGAGTAAGACGTACAGAGCAGAGCAGGGGTAGGGACTGTGTAGCCCTGCCGATCGGGTTGGTGCAGCCAGTAGGGAAGGAAGGTGGTGGTGGGGTTTTCAGTCCAACGTGCTGGAGAGGGAGGGGGAGATACATGCCCACCCCTCCTCCTCTGCTGTCTCCCTGACAAATTTAGTCGCTGGTCAAGATATTAAAATTCCCCAATCACTACAATGTGAAACTGGGGACACACCATTTTCATAGACTTACAGGAAGCTGCTTCTCTGAGCCAAATTCAAGTCCAGTGGCTGAAATATAATACATAAACTCTCTCCTTTTTTGGGGACAGCATGTGATGTGGGAAAGGCCTGTTCTTAAATGCAATACTTCTCATGGACAGAAGGTACTTATCTATACAAAAGAGTTGGCTTCTTTCTCATTTCTGGATTCTTCTGCAGGCAAGATCCTGATAACAGTTTGAATCAGAGTTCATAGGTCTTGGAACCTACAAAACAATTATCTAACCACTGCCCCTATCTGAAGGAGAGCCTGCTCCAATACATCCTTGCTCCATTGCTAACATTCTCCGAGTACCTTCTCCATGTGCCACTGGACACAAGAGAGCAACGGGGGCTGCTATCAGGGTGGTAATCTTCATGGCAGTGGTTCCCATCCATGATGTGCCCTCCAAGAGAGCCACCAGGCACTCTCACTAGTAGTAATTAGACATCAGGCTAAGACCTTCCCTTTCCTGACAGACATTTAATTACCGGTGCTACTGTTTTATGATCCATTGCTGGCTCTTAATGCCACTGTTACCTTACTCGTCTTTGACTGTTTTACTTGGTTTTATCATCATATTCATTATTTTACTGTCTGTCTCAGTAAATTGTCCAAAATCTGTATTTATGCCAGTAAATAAAAGTTTACAGAAACACAATAATTAATGGATGAAACAGGGTGGTGGAAGAACTGATTGCTAAGCCATTCATACTCAATGTTAAAGTTTGATAACAACAAACAACTAAAATGAAGCAAAATTCAAGGATTTAAAAGACTGCAGCCTGGACCGTGTACTCTGGCATGTCTCTCAAGTCAGTAACTCAGATCAGTGGATCCTACCACATACTGTATGTGGAAAGTAGGGTAGTTTGTCTTCTGATTTGGAAAAGACAGATACAATTCTGGGGAATCACAACAAAACACTGGTGTAACCTTGAACACACAGAAAAGCAGTAGAGACATGTTGCTGTACTTGTTTTGTTATCGCAAACAAAGTTTCGTTAGGTATTGATATACCTCCTCCAAAACTACAAGAAAATAAAATTGCTCTCACAGTTATAAATATCTGCAAAAAATTCTTGAATGGTATGCCATCAGCTTGACGCATGCACACTTACAAAAATGTGTAAGGTATTTTGAATATTTCACATCACACAAAAGAAATAGGGGCTTTTTTGAGTCATGGGAGGGCCCATTTCCCATGACTGGGAAAAAAACCCACCCTTCTCTAGGGCAATAATATTTTCCGAGGTGAAAGATTCTCTCTTTCGGAGCCTACATAGACCCAAGTGAACCTTGCCTGCTTTGCATCACTGAGCACCAGGTTACATTTTCTGGGGAACTCCTAGACATGCCCCACTGGTGCCCTCTTATCTTTCTGGCATCACTGCCACCCCCACACAGAAAGCACGCTTCCTCATTTTCTCTGCTCTCCCCACCTAGGCCTGAAATGAAAGTGATGACAGAAGTTAGGAAGGGAGACAGTCCTCAGAGTCACACCATTCTGGCCTGTTGCAGAATTATGGTAATTTGACGGTACACACTTATCATAAGGCAACCCCAGGGAACTGTACAAATCGCTCACATGTCTGCTATGATACAACCCCATAATCTGCCCCAAAAAGTCTCAAGGTGGACTCTGAAGCTATGAGTTCCCCGGCAAGATGGTACCTTCCTCAATTAAAATGGGTCAGTTCTTGCCATTCTGACTGAAGTGAACTTGGTTAGGCACACTCTGTCATCCATATAAACTGTCTCCATGAGGTACTTGATAAACTGGCTTGACATAGTGCTTGTGGGAAGAGGCTATGGGAAAGACAGCCCACAGAGAAGAACCCACAAGATCACTAAACCAAAAGCAGTTACACACTAACTGTCCTTTTGGGTATACAATTCAAGGTGTGCTTGCCTGGGTTTATGAAAGTGTTATATCAAGGAGTGGCAGCTACTCCAATCTGGATTCATTCCCTAACTACCCTGGAATAAAAGCACACAGAAGACCAAATTAAGCCTCCATCTAAACGCCAAAAAGAAATACTACTTTGAAGTAGGGTAAGAGATGAAGGGTGTAACTAATCAAGTCCCCTTAATTACAGGATGTGATTCTCAGCTTGGGAACAGAAATAAAGGGTGTGTGTCTTTCCCCCTGCCTCAAAAATTCAGAAAGAGAGCATTTTACAAGATTTTCCCTTCAGTTTCCCTCTTGCACTAGAAACATTCGTCCAGAATGACCTTCCCTTACCATGCCAGATTCGGGAGACTATTAGGAAGGATTCATTTTGTTGGCAACCCTAACTGGGTAGTTACAAACTGATTTAGGAATATTGTTGTTCAGTCCCTCTCTCAGACTCTGCAGTACTTTTTTCAACTGTGAAACCAAACAAAAATGATACAAAACGCCATCCCTAAGAGGTGCAACCACTCAAAGCATCAAACATGAGGCAAGGCTCCTGCCCCACACCTGCCTGTTTGTTCTGTCTCTCCCTGGCATAGTTCTCAACCTTTTCAGACAACTTTTCCTTTAGGGCAGAATTCAGCCCAACCTCTAAGCTCAAGCTACTAGTATAAGTTCAGTTGAAAACTCTTTATTATTTTTATGCGAATAGAGCTGGCCCGACTTCCATTTCCCAATTCTGATGAGTTGTATTATCTCCACAGCTCCTTCAAATGGAAACACACTTTTTCCCTATGTCAGAGGAATCAGGGTTTTTGAGGTTAAAAAGAAACAAGGCTTTTAAATGCAGAGGAAACCAGCCTTTCCTTTTATTTACTAACCACGCCAAGGATGGGTCTACGGGGGGGGGGGGATATTACATCAAAAATGCTGTAAACTGGTACACTGTAGAAACATTACTGTAAAGTAATATAAGTTCGAAAACAAATAAATAGGTCAAATTTTGTGCTCATAAATCACATTCATTCAGCAATGTACTGGTGGTAGGTGTGCCCATTCTCCACCTGCTCAAAACCCTTCCAATTTAATGAATTTCACATGACATCCATCCATAAAAAGGGTGACAACAGAGTGCCCGGATGGGATGCATACATTGGTAATATTATATATGATGTCTATGCAGTGAAGTGCATGTTATGTACCCAATACTTTACCAAGCATGCTGGATTTCCTAATCAACAAATGTGTCACTCAGCCTTAGGATCCCCAGTAACCTGATCTTTAAATAGACAACTGTGGGATTAGGCAATGGGATTTCTTTTGAGTAGTGTGTTTCAACTCACATAATAGTTTTCTTTTCTTTTTAACAATCATTTGCAGGCTTTCTGATGGAGTTGGTGGTGAGGGGGGCTAAATTTCATTTGAAAAACTCAAACAAGCTTGTATTATTCCACATCCATATCATGCAAATCTCAGACTACTACGGTTTCCCACGATATGGAAATACAGTAAGATCCATACAGTAAGATCCAACAACACACTATTTTACTTATATAAAAGTTGAGTATTAACAGACAAAAATAATACAAAGCAGCCTTATAAAAAGATGAAGGGTTTCTTGCACACATGGTGTTAATTGCAAGTAAAGCATGCTAATGTGTGGAAGGTGGCTTCTTGAACAATTTCTACAGTTTGTAGCACAGGCCTTATGAAACACAACACGGTGCAGCTCTTTGTTAAATGGCCACCTTCTGAAACTGCATTCCTAATGAAAAATCAAATTATAATATAACAGTTACATGAGAAATTTGCATCAACAAAATATTGCAGTGTGGGTGTTTCTGGTATAAATTCCTGCCAGCCAACTACAAATCTTCTCCTAGAATACTCCATTAACACTTTGTGCACATTTTCAAGTTTCTTCTCTACCACTGACAATATCCTACGCCTGGGGAGCCTGCGAGAACAGTCAGTGAAATCCTCTGGGGATTCCACCTGGCATATTTTTAGGTTTGATCATTTTGTTTTTTTCTAAAAGCCACAAAGGGCTTCAGGTTTCCTCAAATCCACTGATCTCCCTCTTGCGACCAAGAACATGATGTTCTGGATACATAACGATCCATACTGAGAATTGGTTCACTGAATGGGCTCAGAATCACAAGTATAATAGATCTGCTCCTGTACTACAGAGATAAATAAAATGCCTTTACACTGAAGCTGAAGAACAAGGACAGAGCTAGTATTTAAAGTAGTTCACTTAAGGAAGAACCCACACAAATTGAGGCTCTCACAACTTTAGCTCAAAATCTGTTGAGATTAGAATCTGTCAAAGATGCTGCTTGAATTTACAGCAATTTTAGAGTATTTAGCCCTGCAGTTGCAATAAATGGCCTATTGGGGTGACGGCTTTTTAACAACTGTTCTGAAACTTAAATACATGGCCTCACATAGCGATTGCACAGTGCACTATCTCAACATAATAGCTGCTCAGCATTCAGTCTTTTTAAAAGCTTCCTTCTCAAGAATTTTGTATACAAAACCCCAACTATGCCATTCACTAAGCTGCTCAACCCAACACATTTATTCATTTTGTTCACTGTTTTTATTGATAAAGATACATTTATAGTGCCCTAAAGCCTTCTGAGC